TGGTTACTAAAAATTACTCCGCTCGATTTTTATTATAAAAAAACTTTTAATTGTTTCACACATATTAAAAAAGGTTATTTTTTTATTTTAAAAAAATGAGATATATTTTTATTTGTACCTTGACTTTAAATAAAAATACATTTATATTAAATACCCTCACATCAATGAAGAAATGATAGAATTGAAAAAGTGATTTAAATATTATAAAGTATTCTATATTTTGGACTAAAAATAACTTATGCAAATAGAATTGGAGGGAGTGCATGTTATTTCTTTTGGTTCCTTTCATTAAAAAAATAATTTTTTTATTGAGGAATACAATTAAAATTAATAAATCATTTGAAATTTATTTTTTTAAAAAAATATATTCTTATTAATTGTTTGACATAGTAGCTACGCATTTAATTATGTTAATTTAATGAGAAAAAAATATATTCTTAATGTATAGTTATGTTTTATATTTAAGGAAAGCAGAATTCATTTAATTTTTTATATAAATGTGTGCTTTGCGAGAAAACCTATTGACCAATAATTTACTATATAAATGAGAAGCTTTTTCTGGAATTGTTAAAAATATTATATTGTGAGAATGTCCATAAACTCTCCTAACTCTAGCCTTTCATATTCGACATTTTATAACCTTTCTAATGAATGGCTTTAAAAATTTTCTCATATTTAATACCCATAAACTCAAATATTACATATTATATATTAATATGAACTAATCTTTACATTCAATTTATTATAACTCTTGTGTAGAGTTGGAGCCTATAAATAAAAGTCATGTACTATACATTTGGGATACCCAAGTGAATAAGTATTACTTCTCTTTTCTTTTCAATTACTCCCTTCATTTAAAAATGTAAGGTATTTTTAACTAAATCTTACCCTCAATAAAGTAATTACCTACTTTCAAATTAACTCTATTTTTTTTATATTTATCTATATTAAAAAGCTTATAATAAATATAAAGTCACTATCAATAGAGACACTTTTTTTTTAAAAAAAATAATGACTACAGCTTGAAAGACTAAAAATATATTACATTTTTTAACATCAAACTTTTTAAAAAATACTTTATATTTTTAAATAGAGAGAGAATCTCTTATGTTCTTCATTTCTTTCATCTCAATCTCTTATATTTTTCCTATTTTCATAACATGAATAAATTATTTTATTCTTCTTGCAAGTCACGTGCATTAATTTAATAATTTACTTGTTGAACTGTTGACCAAAATTTCCATTATGTGTCTTTACCCAGTTGTCATTATTTTCACATTTTTGTCAAGTGGGTGGGCCTTGTCACTTTATTTATTGCTTAGAGATCTTTCGGGAAAATGTTTTAATTTTTTTTGTAAAACTTTGTAAAGTGCTTTATATCACTATTATAAGACCCAGATCAGGCTGTTTGGTTTGAACCGGTTATAAGTTTAGTTTAGTTACACATTAAAACTATTTTCCTGTGAACCACTCATGAACCGACTGTAAATTAGCCAAAATTAGTGAAAAATTAGTTGAATCCATCATGTTACTTTTTTATTTTTTATTTTTAACTCATATTTTTAAAATATAAGTTATACATATTTATACCTAATAAACATGATGAAATAAAAAAGATGTAGGAAATATATATGAATTATATATATATATATACTTTAAATTTATAAATTATGAAATAGTTATATATAACTTGGATGAAAATTATGTCATAAGTTATAAATTATCTTCTTTTAAATTTATATATTCATTTTTTCCACTATATATGATGATTTCTTTTTATTTTAAATATTATATATTTAAAATATATTAATTAATTTATGATTGATTGAATTTGATTATTATTGAACCGAAAACCGATACTTCAATTGGGTCAAAAAAAAAAAGGTCCAAATGCACGTATGGTCTATGATGAGATTGTGAGACAGCAACAGTTTTTTTTTTTTTTAAAAAAATAAAAGATCAAATATTATTAAAAAGAAAAAGACCGTGACAGTTAGACAAGGGCTAGTTTGAACTTTACAAACTCTACAGTAATAATTAATTTTTTTTTGGTTGTATGTTAGTGATTTACTCATACTATATATAACTTCTTAGATTTTTGAATTATTCTATATCCACAGGTCTTAGGCCTAAAGTATATGTTTATGTTGGATGTGTTTTAAGATGGATCGGTCACTTCAAATTTGAGGGTGATGCAATGAGGCTCATTGAAAAGAATGCATTAGCCCGTTGACACATAAACTTATAGTTAATAGATAGAAAAACCTATAAATAAATTTTAAGAAAATATAACTTTAATTTTATATACTTTACTTGTATTTCACTGTAAATCTCTGTATTTTTTTTGGTGTTACATGTTTTTATATTTTTATTTTTCTAATAATTTATGTCTCCTAAGGTCCCTATATTTTGTTTACGGAGAGATCTAAAATGTTGAAATATAAAAATGTAGGGATATAAAATACAAAAAAGTAAAAGGACTCATAAAAAAACGCGAGCAAAATGTAAAAATTTAAAGTTATATTTTTATTAAATTTTAGAAAACAGTAGAAAAAAGCCCCTAAAACTGCAAATAAGCCTAGTAAGAAAATAAATATTAATAAAGTCTCTAAAATTATGAATGGTGTTAAAATATTAATACTTCAATATATTTAACAATTTAAGTGTCATCATTGTTTACAAATATTCATACATAATTTATAAGCCAACTTTTGAAATAAATTTTACAACTTAACTATGAATATATGATTTAATTTTTTTATATATAAAAATTTAGGTAAGTTGAATCGTAAGAATTCACTAGAATCAATATATGTTCCTGGATTCAAAAAAATTATGATAGAAGTCCTTATATATCATCTACTAATACATTCTTATGTTAAAAGTAAGATTGGATCATCCAACCTTATAAATTATGGGTTAAATTTTTATTAATTATTAAACTAATTATTGTGGGTATGTATATGTAATTTATAAGCGAGTACTTTTTTATACTAGTTGTAAATTTACATGGAATGATTCATAAATTATCACATTATTTTAAGTTATAAATTATCATAACTATTTTAATTTCAACTCAACTATATTAAAAACAGATTATTTATAAATCTTGAATATACTAATGGAGCTGTAAAATTTGAAAGGAGGATTTATAAATTTTAAAGGAAAATTTATAAATTACAAGGCATCCCGTTACAAATTATGTGTCAAGAGCTATAAATAACAAAGATATTTAAGTTATTAAATATTAAAGTATTAATACTTGTTAATTATTTGTCGGTGATGATGTGATAATCATTAGGTAGTCTGTCAAAATGCTATTTTAATTCTTTACATAAATAAGAAATAATATTAGTTCTCTAGCATTTACATATAATTTTGAGATTTACTCCCTCAATTTAAAAATATAATATATTTTGAAAAAATTAATTTTTTAGTCCTTCAATTTTTAATTCACTTGTACCTTAATTTCTCAATTATGACTTATGTGACTCAATCCCTCAACTATGACTCGCCTATGATTTAGTTCCTCAACTTTTGAATCATTTACAAATTAGTCCCTTAATTTTATTAATTTTTTTTCATGTTAGCTTATATCTCACATCAATAAGCAAGAGGAGGGTATTTTAAAATAATATGTGAGCATTTTTTATCCCTCTTATTTGATAATATTTTATTTTAAAAAATAAAAAATAAGGATCGAGTTATAGGTGAATCAAAAGTTGAGGGATTGAGTCGTAGCGAGTTATAGTTGAGGGACTGAATTTTAGCGAATTATAATTGAGGGACTAAGTTACAAGTGAGTTAAAATTTGAAGGATTAAAAGATTAATTTTTTCATGTATTTTTAACCAAATCTCACTCTTTAATAAAGTAGTTACCTCCTTTTAAACTAACTTTATGTTTTCATATTTATTTCTATTAAACACTCTACAATAAATATAAAGTTATTATTAATAGGGGCACTTTTAAAAAAAAGATAATAATTATACTTCAAAAGATTAAAAATACTTTACATTTTTGAACATCTAACTCTTCAAAAAATACCTTATATTTTTGAACAGAGGGAGTAATAATTATCAACTATCCTATTATGAACTTATTTGTAATTTTTAAAAAACTCATAAATAATTTTCTCTAGGATTAAATGGCAAATTGACCTCTGAATTATATGTTTAAGAGCTTTGAGGTTTTAAAACTCATTTTTAGTATAATACTTCCTTTCAATACTTCAAAAACATGTAGCCTATCTTGTTGATAATAAATGTTAACTTTGATTGTTAGTTGATAAAAAAATTATAAAAGAATGACCCTAAAAATTATAAAAAACAACCAATAAATTAACATTTGTTATTGGTAGGGCCAACATTGCATTATTTAGCTATGCTTAGATGGACTAATTTTTTTTTTAACCACCCTTGTTCAAAATAATATGATAGCCCTTACTCATTTAACACTATATTCAGGCGTCGATACAATAGTTTTAATTTACTTATCATTATAATTGAGTCTTACAATATATTACTTACGGGCAACAACTTAGCATTAGCAAAAAAATATTTATTGTTCATATTTATTTGAGATTTAATAAAATTTTTACATTAACTGTTGAAAATTTAACACAATCATCTTCCTTTATCAGGGCTTCTAATTGGCTGTATAACACAGGCATAGCTTAAGAGTAAATTTTATTTTTAATTCATTATTTATAAATAGAGTAGAAGGGAGTATTTAAAAGGCAAAAAATTTCAGGTGAAAAAAAAAAAAAATCGTAGCTATAGTCAATTTGCTCTGGTGCCGACGTCTTCTTAGTTGTCTGGATGGTCATTTTGCGACCCCCGCACCAGAACGATTCTTTCTAGAAGTATGTCACTATGTCACTATGTCACATTATTTCTTTTTATTTTTCTTGTTTCCTCCAAAAACAGTTGCAGACACTTCACTTCTGTTTATTATATTTATTTCTCCTCAATCCCACACAAAGACTTTATGACTTTCTTCCTCATTTGATTTTCCACCGTTTCCCCAATACGCGCAACAAACTTCATCACCTTCACATTTTCCATTTGCTTGCTTGCTGGAAAAAACAGAGACTGAGAGTGAACGCGAGACGGCAACCGTAAGTTTCTTCTCCTAGCTTTCGTCTCACGTTCTATTCTTTTTTCCCTAAAATAAGCAAAAAGCCCTTATTAATTTTCTGATGTCGTCTTCTGATTTTAATTTCCGAGGGTTTTGGCATTTTCTGAATTGAAAAACTCAAAAACGAATATAGGAAGGAGAATGGCGGGCGATGATAACAGAGATCGCAGTAATGAAGCGCCATTGCTGAAGAATCGGTACTATGAGAACTGCCCAGGGTGTAAGGTGGACCGAGCTAAAGCACTGAACAAAGGATCACCATTAAAGCATCTCCTCAACATATGGATGCTAACTATGTGCACCAGTAAGTATATATACACAGCTATTTTGTTATCTTAGAGGTATCGGCATGACGATGACGACTAATTCTAAGTAAGGTTATTCGGTCATCAAAACGTTTCTACTCTCTACTTGATCTGAACGCACGTTTAAAGATAATAAGAAGGTGAATTGTAACACATGAATCTGAAAATGGAGTTTCAGATGTATATAACTACATATACATGCATGGTTAATGACTAAAGTGCATTTGTATCTAAAATATTTAAAAGTATTCTTAAAGGAGTTATTAACATTTTACAAAAAAACGTTGTGCAGTATTGCAGTGTTTAAAATGTTTTTCTTTAACGGTTATAAACCAAATATTTGTTGGTAAAAAAAAAAAAAACCGGTTATTAACCAAATATTCACTTTTGAAATAAGGTTGCTTTTATATCGATTTTAAAAGGTCATTATTTCATAATTTTTAACTGTTCATAGAAATATCTTTAGGACAAAATTTCACTTTTATTTTTGGGTCGACCACAAAATTTCACTTTAATAATTGAGCTTTTTTTATTTTTAAATTACGATGTTTTTAAAAGCATGTATATTATTTTTTAATTAATGAAAGAGATTGGCCTTTAATTGCTATTTTCCCAATTCAAGATCCTTAGCTGTCATTATGTCTCAAACATGGTCTTTGTTCTTGCTTTCTTGGGCTCAGTTCAGCTCCAGCAGAAAAGAAAGTTGGTTTATCGACTTGAGAAAAGTAAAAAAGAATAAGCTTTTTTCATGATTATTACTTTTTTTCCTGTTTTGTCATGGCAAAATATTGTTTAAAGTTCATGATAGCCTTCCTGACTTTTGTTGGAATATTATAGCGTTTTCTAATTGTTCGACTCAGTTCTAAAGCTAAAAATCAATCTAAAATTTGTCATGAAACAGTTTCAAAACAAGTTCTGGGGGAAAAAATAAATTTTGAGAAGCATATTTAAATTGGTGAAATAAAGGGTAAAATAATAATTTATTTTATTAACGTAATTGTTATTAATGAAAGCATGATATTTTTTACATTTTCTCTAGTTTTGCAAAACAAAATGCAACAAAACATCTCATAGATATTCTTTTTTAGTTCTGTATGACAACTTTTAACTTTTCTTTTTTTTAGAAAACAGAAAATATATTTTTAAACAGATTTTTTTTTTTCATTTTTCCCCCCAAACAAGCCCTTAAGTTGTCGGGACTTCAATTTAATTTCGTATTCATTATCAAATTTCATGTCAATAAATTCTTTTAATACAACTATTTGGTATTTGATTTTTTTCACGGGATTTTTTATTTTACGATTAGTATCTATGGATTCTTCTTTCATTTGATGTTGATTTTTATTTTTAGCTTTATTTTTAAAACAATCTGATTTCTTTTCTTTTTTTCTTGTGCTCTGTACAGCGTTGCCTATATCATGTATCTTTCCATTCATTTATTTCATGGTGAGTTTGGTTTTTCACTTGCCTTTGCTGTTACCTTCTTGCTTCAAGACGTAAACAGAATAGATAACAGTAGATTTGATTATTTTTCTTCAAGTTATTTATTTTTTTATTTTCCTAAAAAAAATTTGGCATTTTAATGAATGAATTTGAGTACCGATGTAGGCACACACACATATTTATATATAAAATTTATTGCAAGTCATACTATTTACAAGTCATGAATAGTGTGGCCCATTCCTTAGATTTTAGGCGAATGTATGGGAAAATATATTTGGTTACAGTTAAATCCTGTTTTTTCAATGCATATTCTTTTGAATTGGTTCCATTTTGTTGGTCTGTATTTGGAAAAACTTGCGCATTTAATCCTTGTTCCAAATTTCCATTTTGAAAAAATAATAAATGATAAGCGCACATTATCCCGTTCTTAGGGTTTAGTTTTAGTGGCTTAACGTCCGTAAATTATGTTTTATATTAAAAAAAAGGGTTTTTGCTCAAGCAGAAAGTCATTTTCTTGCAGATATCTAATATTCTATTATTGTTAACTAAAACGAGAAGTTGGTTTCTTGAAATTTCCATGAATGGCTTATTGGGTGGATGGATCTGGGATGTCTTTGAATAATCATAAATGGAATCTTTGACTTCAGAGACAAATATGGTATAAGTTGAAATGCAGCTTTGTATAGTACCTTAATGTGGAAGAAAATTTCTCCTCAAAAGAGACTGCTTCAACTAATCTCAATTCAGGCTCACAAATGGTCCAATTGATCTCTTTAACCGTGGAAAATATTGCTTTGCCTTCTGCTTTATCATATGCTATGGAACAACTCACGAAATAAAATTTTTGTCGTCTTCAACTTTATTTCTTCTTACTTTTGAGCATGTAACAGTATCTTCAATACAGTGGCATATAAGATGAACTATTCATAAACATTTGCTTGTAGGTAAGAGATTTTGGTATTGCAGAAACGGAGGCAGACATTGGTACCTATGCTGGTTATCTGGGTAAGGTTCCTATTAGTCCTTCCATTCCATTGATGTCCATTTGAGAAATTTATAAGCTATTAAACTAATGATCTCCATATGGAACATGCTGATCTCCGTATGAAATATGTTGTAGGCTCTTCCTTTATGCTTGGCAGAGGATTGACATCTGTAGCTTGGGGAATAGTGGCTGATCGATATGGTCGAAAATATACTATACTTTTAGGAACTATTGCAATGTAAGTAAACCTACCCCTGATTTGGATGATTCCTTTAAAGCTCTAAGCAATGATAGAGAAAAATAAGAGAGCATTTGGAGAAATGGAATTGTGGGAAACATGCTCTTGGCATAATCAAGGAAAATTAAATACCTAGGAAATTGGTGATTGTTTAACGGATATTGGATTGGAACATTGTTTTATTTAATTTTTGTTTGTATATTCTCTTATTTATTTTATTTTATTTTATTTCTTGTGATGGGATCCTTATAAATAGTCCTCTCACTAGTTATATGTCAGTTTTTTGACACCAGTTGAAATTTGTTTATCTTGTTAGTTTCTCTCACTTCATCCCTCCCCCTCTTTCGTCATCTCCTTCCTCTTTCTTCCTCTCTACTGTACTACGTCAATAAGGTTATTCATATTGATATTGATTATGATTTGATTTCAGTACTGTGTTTAACACACTATTTGGCCTATGCACGAGTTTTTGGATGGCTGTTAGCACACGATTTCTTCTTGGAGGCTTAAATGGTTCACTTGGAACAATCATGGTACCATTTATTGATGCAACATATAACATCAAATTGAAATTGAGTGAATTCATATTTTGGTTTTAGAAAAGATATGCTTTCTCTCTTTGGTCCTCCAAAAGTTTAACGGGTCATTTTGGTTCTTCAAAGAATATTTTGTCTCCAATATTGTTTTCACATTAAGCACGTTGGCTTATAACTGACAGACCATGGTGCCATGGCGTTATGAAGACCTGATGTGATCATCAAATGCAAAGTCGTCATCTAAAATATGTTCATGGCAGTGCATCATATTGTTTTGCTGCTATATCAAGGCTGGTGACAGTTGGGTATATAATGGCCATGTCAACTTTACATTAAGCCGTATCACCCACTTTCTTTGTTATTTTTTAAAGGGATTAATGTGAGGATGATATTGAAGATGAAAAAGTCCTTTATAAGACTTGAATGGGACATCCAGACTTTGGGAGGCCAAATTGAGATATGCGTATATTTTGAGGTCTAAATTATCTATTCACTAAATTTTCATTTAACAGCACTCGAGCTAAATCAAAAGTTTGAATTACAATACTTGAAGTCAGTCCATTTGTTTATTTGTTCTTTACAAGACTCTGTTGTATAACAACATTCTCTGTCACCAGGCTTATTGCACTGAAATTCTTCCAGAAGAACACCAAGCAAAAGGGCTGGCAACTGTAAGCCTAATTTACTTTGGCCAACTGTTAGTTCTTATAATTACTTCTTCTTTATGATAATTTGATTGTGTGATCTGATTTCAGTACAGTTCAGCTTGGGGCATAGCTTTAGTCATTGGTCCAGCGTTAGGAGGCTATTTGGCTCAGGTACTGTATTCCTGCCTCGTGCAAAAAACTAGATCTTGAAGAACAGGTTGGCTTTTTCACAGGGACCTAAGATGATTCCTTTTGTACAGAGACACCCATCTAAGCCAAATTTCTAATGGAATAGGTGTTTATCTTTAACTACATTTCAAATTCATTGTTATCATAAATTTTGAAAAATATAACTTTAAATCTCTGTACTTTGATTGGGTTTTGTTATAGGTTCTGCACTTTTCAGTGTTATAGGTCCCTATACATTTTTTTTGTGTGTGTTCTAAGTCCCTATAACACTGCTCATGGAGGGACCTAGAACACTGGAAAAAAAAGTGTAGGGACCTATAGCAAAACTCAAATAAAGTGCAAGGATTTAAAATTATATTTTTCTTTATAAATTTGGTCTATTCCTCCTCCTCCTTATTATAAATAAAAGGGAGAAGGGCTGCTACAGGGTGTGTAAGAGTTTACAGGTGCCTGTGAGCCTTCTCATTTATCATAATTCTGTTCATATCTTCAATTTTCATTGCATGCGTGTGGAAACATTCCCAGGAGCACAATTATCAATTTTTCTTCTAATAATTTGGGAATATTGATATTGCAGCCAGTAGAGAAATATCCACATATATTTCCAAAAGGTTCTTTATTTGATAAGTGAGTATCCTTGTTATTTCAAATAATAATTTTGGCTTCTTTTTTTTTTTTTTTTTTTACTTTCTTGATCATCTTCATTTTCTAGTACGATATGCTGATATTCGTTTTCCCGAAACAAATGGCGTACAGGTTTCCATACTTCCTGCCCTGCCTTGTAATATCAGCCTTTGCACTCATTGTATTAGTTGCTTGCACCTGGCTCCCGGTAATTAATAGATCTTGCAAACCTTGCTGTTTACAAGCTGTAAGCAATGCAGTTGCTCCTTGGATTACTTCAAATGCACAAGGTCTAAGATCTAGTTGATAATTATAATTGTGAATTGTATGGAGTACAGAGGGTGGTTCAAACATACATGCCTGAGTTCAACCCTAAGCGTATTTATCCTTTACATATTTTTTGAAACTTAAATCTCAGCAACTCACTGTTCTGACATATCTTAAGGTCCAACAAGAAATCCATCGATTTGCCTTTTATGGCTCTGTCGTCATGATGTTTTAAGACTACTGTTATTGGCTTTAAAATATCAAAAAAGAAATTCCCTCTCTGGGTTAGGGTAAAGGCATGGTTCTATTATGGTTCTCTGCGAGAGAATTAATGAAACTGATGAGTTCTGCTTTTGAGTCCAGAGCCTCGTACTTGGTGAAGCCTGGAGACCTGTCAATAGTTATTTGCTTTTTTATTCTCTGTTTATTTGATAGGTTTCTGCATAATTTAAAATATAACATACTAAAAATAGAACCCTAGAATTGTATTTGCGTGTATTGAATTTTGAGCTGTTTGTTTTTGACAAAAAGACCACCTTCTTATATTAAACTTGTTCTTCATAAACTCTGCAGGAAACATTGCACAACCATAAGGTTAGCAACGATTACAATAAGCATGCAGAAGCTTTAGAAAATGATATCACGGAAAAACCATTTCAGAAAGATGGAAATCTCTTCTTGAATTGGCCCCTCATGTCATCCATCATTATTTATTGTGTTTTCTCACTGCATGATATAGCTTATTCAGAGGTATGCTTCTTACTTAATATTAGGACAGATAGTTTAATGCATTTCACATAATATGTTTGTTATGCGGCCTATCTAGCTTTCAATCTTGTTCTCCAACCTCAATTTTTTTTAAATTTTTTTTTTCTAACATCTAGTTGATCAATAAAATGAAAGTCATATCCTACTAAGGGAATTTGGCTGCCTGGATTGTATAATACCATTGGGCTTTATCAACAACTAATTGTTCGACTAAATCTTTCACAATGAAAATCTGTTCTGCAACTTACTTAAATATGTCCTTCTTAGTCTCCCTTTACATCTTTTCATAGGACTAACAGTCATTTGCTCAACAATCCTCATTGGTGCCCCTAATGACCTTTTTTTGCACATATCGAAACCATATTAATCAAATTTCTAAATGGGTGCCTCTTGTAATTGGTGCCATGCTACAGGCACCTTTTGGCATGGCTAAGGAACATTTGCTCAACTCTCTGGTGTCTTTCTTAGCTCATGTCCAAACCTCTTTAATTGATTTTCTACCATTTTCTTCTATGGCCACACATTCATATTATCATTCTCGTCTCTGCTACGCTATTTTTGGCCCTTGTAGTCCCTTCATTGCCCAACTTTCTGCAGGTTTTCTCGTTATGGGCTGTCAGTCCTTTAGAGCTTGGGGGTTTAAACTTTACAACAGATGATGTCGGTGATGTTCTTTCAATATCAGGTATGTCATTGATGGAATTTCCAGATATATACGTTAATGTTGTAAATTAGATTGTCTTTCTAACCTTCCATCCCCTAATATTGTGCATAAACGTAATTGCATTTATGATGTCATGCGTACCAACTTCCTCCAAGGCTTGTTATGTAACCAAAATTTGTTGAGTAAATTGCAGTTATTTTAATTTCCCCAAACATTGGTAAGATTGAGACGCATTTAGAAGATTACCTTTACTTGGTTTTTGGTTGAGAAGCCTTCGATAAAGTTTCTTTAGTGCTTGTTATCAAGTTCTTCAATGAAAGCGTAACTTGTACAGGAAACTTTAAACGCATCATTCACATAGTGCTAAATATCTAAGGTATTAATGTGTGGTTCTTCTATTGGAGAGTTTTTTTTTTTTTTTAATTACGTGAATTTGTTTATCTAGAATCATACACTGCGCTGTGGGTATATTAACTGCTTTATGACTTCACATTAGACTTGATGATGCTTAGTTCTGAGTATGAAATTTCTTAAAGTAGGTACTATTATTTCCATAATATTTTAAAAATTTTTAAATCAAGTTTTTTGATAAAATTGTTTTGGACTGAACTTCTTATATGGATGCAGATTTATTCAGTCTTCCTTGATTTTCATGCAAAAGTATATGCAAGAACTGCATATATGAAAATTTCAGCTAGTTTAAGGCAGGAAAGATATGCATTACAAATATGAAGGACCTGTTTCTGTTCCCATTTTTTATTTTTAAAAAGCTGTTTTGTAGTATGATTTTCAGAATCATTTTTTGAAACAAAACAAAATGAAAATCTGTTTGGTTAATTTAAAAATAGTTTAAAATTAAAATAGGCTGTTAATAATTGTTGTAGGTAGTTGATAGTGGCGGTTTATGATGAAAGTTAACCAAGTTAATTATATTTTCTAATAATCAAATATAATATGTTTTGAAAATAAGAAAAATAAAATAAAATCAACTTTAAGATGTTTCCATTTTTTGTTTGTTTTTAAACAATAAAAAATGAGAACAGTTTGGAAGACAATTAAATTTAGAACACTTATCCAAACAAGTTTTTTTAACTTTTTTGTATAGTCGACCCCACTTAATAAGATAAGATTTATTGTTATTGTTATTTGTTTTTAAAAATGAAGAACAATTTTTGAAAGCAGAAACCAAACAGGCCCTTATTTTCTTGTTTCCAGTGTCTTGATGCTATCACAGAGATTGTGCTGATTGGCACTGACCTTTGCTCAATTAATTAGGATTTGCTCTTTTGTTCTACCAAATCTTCATTTATCCAACTATGGAGAAAGCATGTGGAACCATTAATCTTGCTCGCATTGCAGCGGTTAGCTTTTGCTTTCATACAATAATTACTATGATCCAGCATTTCCATTGTCAGTTGCTTCTAATCTGTGCCTTTATTTGGGCACCGTTTGCAGGTTTTAACTATGCCTCTCTTGCAAAGTTACCCTCTCATAGCGATGCTATCTGGCTTTACACTGCACCTAGTGATAGCTATTGCTTCAGTCCTTATGTTGTGTGTCCCTGTAAGTGCATCTGTTTTTTTATTTTAACAAGCGCAAATAGTAACATTGAGGGGTTAAGGTGAAGGAAAATGGCTGGAATCAAGTAATTTTTCTGGATATTTCTAATCTGTTAGATATGGATAGTAATGCTTCTCTAACACAAGTAAATGCAATTTGTGGAATTTACCTTTCGAAATTTAAGTGGCATAAATTTCAACACATATATGGTAACACCATAAATTGTACCTGCTTGGATATAATTTAAAGTATCACATAGACAAGGACGTAGTTAGAACTGCCAATAAATATTGGCCAGGCCTTTAAGGGCTCAAGCTCATAAGTTTTCTTATTCTAAAATCAGCATTTTTCTCAAGCCCGGCTGTCATTGACATTCTCAATGCCGGACTAGAAAGCCTCATAACTTTTTTTATTTTAAACTAAAATTTCTAATTATACTACTACATATATAAATTTCAAAGTATCTTAATTCAATATTTAAAAAAAATTGTAAGCTTTGAAGTATAATTAAAATATTTAGCAAATTGTCATGTCCTCCTATATTAATTCAAAACTTTAAATTATATAAATAATAAAGTTATAAAAAAATTATAAGGAAACTTAAGGGCTAGCGCGAGACTTTTTTTGTAGAATCTATAAGGGTAGGGCCTAAAAGCCTTTTTATATCAAAATCCCTTATTTTTTCAAGCCCAGCCCTCAAACAATACAGGACTTAAAAGGGTAGCTTGCCAAGCCTGACCTTTATTGATGGCTCTAGATGTGGCTCCTTTTTTGTAGTGTTCAGCTTCATAAGTAGTACTTTACACAAAGTAAAAAAAATACAAGAGAAAGAGGCGATTGTTGTTTTGCGTAGTTGCACGTTAGAATAGCAAGAGCAACTATCTCCTTCACAGAACATATATCTACATAATGAGCTTCCTGACTGTAAACTTTTCTTGGCCAGGCGATAATTGATACCTGTTTATTCCTTTTGCAAAATAGAGCAGTGGTAAATTACAAATTCTTTAATTTCAGTTCATTAGTTATTCTTGCTTTTTCCTCAAAGAAGTCGTGAGATTATCATGATTGAGTTGGGCTAATGTGGCATGTTGATTGGGGAAAACAGGAACAACACCAAAGGGGAGCAGCTAATGGTATGGCTATGGCCGCTATGTCACTCTTCAAAGCAGGTGGCCCTGCTTTAGGTGGTGCAGTGTAAGTGTACCTTTGAATTTTTTTTACCCTTTTCCCCTGTTTTGCTTTCTCCATAAATTATTATTTCTGGGGAAAATTTGGTTAAAAAGGTTTGGTTAATTGGTTAGATCGAGTCACATTGACCAAATGGTCTGTGGTTTGTTTGTATTTCACCTGGAAAAAAAAAATATATATATATATAAGTTTGAATTGGCAGTAGGTTTTCATTTATTAAGTGAGGCTGTCAAGATGATTGTAACTCCATCAGTCTCAGCATTTTAGCTTTCATTTTCTCTGTATCATCTGTTGCATAGATTGATCTGATCCTTGTGTTTCTGAAAGCTTCTAGGCAACTTGTCATATTTCACAAGTCACAGTTTAAACATTCTATTAAGGGTTTTAGAGAACGAACTTGGTCTTCTAAAGAGGCTATAACAAAACGGGAAAGACACATTTCACTCCGTCAAACTGAGGCTTGGTTACAATTTTAATGCACTAATTTTGAAGTTCGGCAAAAAGCCCTCCTGTTCTTCGAAAGAAATGTAGAACAACTCAGCCTCATTTAACAGGAGAGTGTTTTGTATTCTCCACAGCTGACGTACTTGTAAGCCAGCCTTAATTTGAAAAAGTAACATTTATTTTCACAAAGAAACTATCCATGCCAGTTTTTATTGTAATCTCCAACATGCTTCCTCATTTGAACACATTGATTAACGTGCTTTTTCTATAATGTGCAACATTTTGAAACTAATCTGCAGTTTTCTTACTATGATCTCGATCGGTGCAGGTTAAGTTGGTCACAGAAGCGGTTAAATGGTTCTTTCCTCCCAGGTATGACGCTCGGTTAATGTGTTTGTGTTGTATTCTGTCTCATATACTGTTTAAAGACATGAAAGAGTGAGGAAAAACATTTAGGTGCGCTGCTTTTGATATTTGCGATAAAGTTATTGAATAAAGAAGGGAAAAATTAACGAAAAATAGCAGCTAAGGACTATTGTGTGATATTTATATCACATAAGGACCAATAATTTGCTATTTACACTGCAGTCCTTTGGTCTTTCTTTGATATTAATTTCTTAAGCAAAATGATGAAATTGCCCCTCAAGTAATTAAAAAAAAAAAAGAAATCAATATTTGATAGAAAGATTTAGTTGCATGTGTTAGTCATTCATTAACAAGTATCTGTTTGATTTTGACAATTAACATATTTGTGATTGACAATAATACATTATGACGTTTAACAAATAAAATATGTAAAGTTTTAAAACACTCAATTTATAATTGTCCATGTCAGATTAACAAGTAATATTTGTAAAATAACAATAATTCATTCGAAATTAACAAGAATTTGTTATGGTTTTAACAAGTTGAAAAAATTGATAGGAAGGTTTAGTTATACGTGTTAGTTATTCATTAACAAGTATCTGTTTGGTTTTGATAGTCTATTTGTGATTGAAAATAATACATTGGAACGTTTAATAAGTAAAATATGTGAAATTTTAAAGCTCTTAATTTGTAATTATCTATGTCAAATTAATAAATAACATTTGTAAAATAACAAGTTCTATTCAGAAGCTAACAACACGTCATTACGTTATTACATGGAAGTGGTCAAAAATTTAGTTTACTCCTATATATATATATATATATTTTACTATATGTTATTAAAAGGCTTGGTGACCTGGCCACCAAGCTTTTTAGGAGGTCAAGGGTCATGAGTTCAAACCCTCCCTTAATCACCTGAAATGTTTATTTTTCAAATAAAATGTTACTTGTGCTGTAGCTTCAGTGACCTGCCGCTAGCGACCCTCGCAGGTTGCAGGGGCTCTAACGATGTTGCTGCCGTCAGTGGTCTAATAACTAGTGATGGTGGGATTTCTTTTCTTTTAAGGGGTAATTTCATCATTTTGCTTACAAAATTAATATCAAAGAGGATTGCAGGGTAAATAGCAAATTATTAGGTCCTTATGTGATATAAATATCACATAGTGATCCTTGGATGCTATTTTCCCAAAAATTAATTTGTAGGTCTTTTTAGTTTTCATTGATTTTTTGAATCAGTAATTTATTTTATTTTAATCAAGTTTTTATAGTTTTTTTTTGCGTAACAAATTATTATAGTTTGATCAATTAAATATATTAACCCTTGAAGGTTAAAAATATTGATGAATGATTAACTTTTTCAAGATGAAAACACTTTTAAAATTTATAGAAAAAGTGATCTAACACTTTTAGCCGAAAAAGTAAGATAAAAAATTTGATTCAATACAATTTTTACATTTTTATTAATTTTTTATAAATATATATATATATATATATAAGTTATTTAGAAAACATATCTAATTATATTACTTTTGATTTATAAAAATTATGTAATTAATTTTAAAATTATATAATATTTTAATAAAAATATAAAAGTTCTTAATTTCATTTTATCAAAGAAAAAAGAATTTTAACCTTCAGAGATTAATATATTTACTCTATCAAATTATAAGGTTTGATTAAACGAAATAAATTGCAAGGATTCAATTCAAAATTACGAAAAACTAGAAGGATATGCAGAGTAATTTTCTCGATAAAAGGTATAAAATGCACACACTTTTTACAACTCAACACTGTATCATGACTGCATGTTCCGTTCCTTATGCTTCAAATCAATAATATCAGTTGCTGCAATTAGGTAAGCTCACTGATTTTGGGACATTTAGCTACAGGTACTCATTTGGTGTTTTTTATGCTGAACCTAATTGAAGCACTTGGAGTGCTGATGATGTTCAAACCATTCCTGGCTGAGAGAAAAGAGCAGTTACAATGATGTCAATAACGTGTTTGCTTGAGCATGGAGAGATGAAGTAATCATGAGGTAATGTTATGAGCAATATAGATTCTCTCTCTCTCTATACTCTCTCTCAGGGCTGAGAAAGAAACCAAGCAGTAAAGGAGAAAGAAAAGTGAAAAGAACGAGTCCCAAATGCTTTCTCGTGTTGCAGTGAAATCAACTCCTGTAATATTTGTCATGAGTCCAATCTGTTGTTGTCTATTTAGTTGCTATTTATATGTAATTTTTGGGTAAGTTCATGGTTGCTTTTGTTTATAATTGTAACAACTTGGCCACTATGTTAATGAAATTTACTATCTTATGCATCTCGCCATTTGATCCTTGATTATTGTTCACCTACAATAATATGAACAGTGATACCTACAGTGCTTGCAACAGTAATGGGCTGATACATCCGGGCTTTATATGCTTGTTGAAATGAGATCAATGAAGTTTGACTACATGGAGAAATATACTTGGTAAACCCTCAGGAAAGTTTGCCTATGCCTTTCACATGTGATCAATCAAGTTTTGAATTTTTATCGGGAGAGATATTCATATTTAACGCTCGATTGTATTTCAAATAGCCTTCAATAAAAAGGCACCTGTGAGCAATTAAAAAAAAAATGACACTATATCAAGATAAGATTGTTAAAACATTCAAAAGCCAAATGAGATTAAATGTCTCAATTGTTTGTCTTTGATATGTGGTATGTGTTTACTTTTAGTGTGGCACATCTACTTTTACTTCAAGTCATATGTTTGCTTTATCTATATTAATTAGGTTTGCCTTATATGTAACTGGCCTTTACTCCCATGTACGTTGCACGGAGAGCATTTAATTATATGCATTCAATATTTTTTAGTAAAACAAAGTTTCATTGGGATTAACATCATGTGCATTCGAAAATGAAGAGACATTTTACAGAGAGATGTTTCATTACTTATTGAATTACATGTGAAGTGAAACATGTTCAAACATGATTAAAAGCAAAACACATATTAAATCAAGTTTTTAAATATATCTCTATAAACAACATTTATTGTTGTACATGTCCCATGAGGCAATAGAATCTTCGACTTTCTTGCTCTTAACTCTTGATAACACAACATATAGCTGATCATGTGTAAAAACTTGCTTTGGTAGATACAATCCAACATTGAATGATTGCCCTTGACTTTTATTGATTATCATTGCAAACAAGACGGTAAGTGGGAATTGCCTTCTTTGCATGTGAAAGGCTCATCTACTTTTAGAAAGATTCATGTCCATTTTATGAATTAAAACTTTCATAGTTTCTTTAAACCATTCAAAAGTTATAGCTTCTATTACATTTCTTCCAACATAAGTGGTGTGTAACCTTATAACATTACACAAACCTGAGGCTTGGTTTATATTGATAAGCAACATTATAGGGGTCTTAACCTTCATGTGGAGCTTATCAGGAGGTAATCTAGAGCAAGTGATTGTGTTAAGAAACTCAACACTATACAAATCATCAAAGGAATCACTATCATCAATTGACTTGCAAATGGAATCAGAATTCAAGAACTTAGCAGATTTATTAGGAAGCAATCAACACATGTGATCATTAACTTGGTTTGCTATTTCAATGATTAGAGTAAGAATTGCTTTATCATTAAAATATAGAATGTTATATAAATTATCAAGTAGATGAGACTAGCTTTAACTGGGTCCTTATAGTTTGAAATCAATAAATTATGAGGGACTTCTATCTCAACTACACTATTGTGTGGTTGGCCTAGGTTTCCATCGCCTATATTTAAAAGCCATTGTGAAATTTTTTTTTAAATCTTCATCATTATTATTTGAAGAAGCTAATGATAGCCACATGTTTTACTTAAGTTAGAAGATTGTACAATGATCCTATAGAGGTGAAGAACTAATGCTTACATTTACAATTATTATTCTGGTTCTTTTAGGAATGATAGGAAGGTTTTGTCAAAAATCACCTCTCATGACAATAGATTTGTCTCCATAGGGATAATTACTGTGCATTATATCCCTAAGGGTACAATTAAAGGCTTCAACACAATAGCATTGCACCATAAGTGCTTCATCCCATATAATTAGCTTGATTGCTTCAATTAGATATGTTAATGTTGAGTTTTGTTTTATGCAACAAATAGATTCTTCAGTTATTTGTATAGGAATTGTAAATCTTGAATGTGCTATTCTACTAAAAGGTAATAAAGTTGCTATAATTTCACTTGATGCCATTGTCAAAATAATATCCCACTGAGTGTGCCAAAATTATTCGTGCATGAATAATAAATACTAGGCATGTCAGAGATGCTGAGTCTCAATTAATAACAAAAAGGGTCCCAAGCTCTCTTATTACAGTTTACTTAGATGTAAAAACATATAAAACTTTGGTAAAGCAAGTGTTTGTTTTTATTGAAGTATAAGGAATTACAAGTCTAAACTAGAAATTAACTGATAAACTTAAAGGCTAAAAAGTGTAAAATATGAGGCTTTGATTGAGTATTGACTTCTTTCTTCTATGTCTTCGTCTTTTATTTATAGCATCAGAGTGGTAATAGCCTTTCCCTTAAGACCTAGCACGTTCTGCTAAAGAATTAGGAATCTCACGAAACTCATGGCACGATCTTTATTCCATGCTTTCTATTTTGATAATTAGCTTGTTTCACCGAGATACTTGGGCTTGAAGTCCATAAATTTTAGAATTATTTAAAATTGTGCCTTTTTTGTGCTAACAGTCCAATGTTTACAACTGATGAAATTTTGGTATATTTATTTATTGTGGCCTTTGTCGAGCATCAGGGTTAGCCCTTTTGTTTTTATTAGGCCTGACACTTTAGTTACTCAGTCCAATTAACCTTGTGATCTATCTGAGCGATATTTCATATTTTAGCCTAAATAATGCCTCTCGCGTGCCAGTGGCTGATAACGTAAGTCCTGTGGCACGTTTGAAAAAATTAAAATGTCAGTTTGTTTTTAAGCATCCTTTATTAATATAAACTCATTTCTTTTTCTGGTCACTTCTCTTGCCTTTCTACCATTTTTTGACATTCAAGTATTTGCTCCCTTACTCTAATCTCCCTTTTGCCTCTACTGTCACTCTATCTTTCACATCCATCGAAAGTCTTCCTGATTCTCTGGCAATTATCCAGAATCTTGTTACCTTACTTGGTGGGCTTGTGACGATACACATTTAGTAGTTGAAACCCTTATTTCCCCAAGATTGGTTCCTTATTCTAATAGTTGTTTATTTTCTTTACAGGAGGATTCTTCATTCCATGATTCTATCACTTTCTGGTAAGTTTTTTACTTCTTCTATTCAGCCCTTCTGTTTTATTGGGAAAATATACTAACTGTTCTTATTTTCTTTCCAGTACTTCTTCTTAGAGTTTTCAAGTCTCTAATAAGAGTGACATCGATTATCTGATGATTTCTCCTAACCTGTCTGAAGTGATGGCCCTTACTCAACTAAATCTATGGCTGCTGACCTCAGTTAGAAACTTGATTCTAGCTCGGATGACCTTGCCTTTTCTTGAGTCATCCTACAAAAAGCTCAGGAATTAGCCCCGGTCGCCTCGTGCTTGAGTCAACTGGGCGAGGTGGTAGAAGCAGACATATGTACCTCAATGGAAGGAGATGGGTCTTTATGACTTAATTCAACTGTCCCTGCTAATGTTGACATCTCGATCAAGCTTTTGATGGCCCTCTTAAGTTTTTAAGCTCTAGGCTGCAATGCCTTCATATTTGAGTTGAGCCCTATGTCCGTTACCTTATGAGACATTTTCATGTTCTTAGGACTGCCCATCATCGGGGAGGAGAACTTCTATGCAATCCCCAAGAAGTATGACTCCTACACCATTCTCTTAGCTGATCTGGAGAGTAAGATTAGGAATGCGAGCTCTTATATAAAGATCATGGAGCTGTTCTCTGAAAAGCCAATCAACGAGCTCGTTACCCTTATGGAGCATCTGATCTTCATCTGGATCTTATTGAGTTAATGGATATTGGCCTCGAGGGAAGGGAAGCCTATGTAGCTACATATGAGGATTGCCAAGTCTCTTCTTTATGGCAATCAGATAGCCTTGGGGATGATGTTTTTGTGCCACCTTTATGATGGCATGAGGGAGTCATTGATGAAGAAGCCTTTCAACAACTTCCATGGGCCGGTTTGGTTTCTACAGCTGTGGATGATGACCTACTTCTCCCTTTTTCGACAAGAGCCCTTTCCTAACAATTTTCACACTAACCACTTTTTCACCTGCCTTTTAAGTGGTCAACCGCTGATCGACTCAAAGAACTTTTTTAAGTTTTTTAGTTAGTAGAGCTAGTCCTCAGGAAGGAACTTGAAGGCTTTACACATTCTAGACTGCTATCTTCCTATTTGGTATAAATATCTGGTGGACCAGAAGAATAACCCCGCCAAATTACCAAGGGATGAGGTTTTCCTCTCAGCTACTACCCCTAGAAAGATATGGCTATCATATACTGGTTTTTCCTCCAAGTTTTTAAAGGTCTATTTAGAGTCGTATCATCCTCAATTAGTGGTGGGCTAGTTTGAATTGAGCCAGTGCATCCCTCAAGGGCTACCCCCCAGATCAATATGGAATTGCTAGATCGGGAGGCTATCGACCAGATAACTATCTTGCATACCACTAAATGACAGTGCAAAGTAGAGCTTGTAGATAGAGACCCCTGCCATTGCTTTAATAAATGATGGCCTCAGCGCTTTAGACGCATAATAACGAGCCATACCAGTAAGTATTATCTCCTGTATTCAATTTACCTTTCCTTTATCTTCCCTTATGCTAAAGTCTAACCTTATTTTTACTTTTTGTAGGCCATGATTGGACACGATCTCATGTGCTGATGACATTTTTGAGGGAAAACATTGATGCCCCTGCTATTTCAGAGACCTAGACGACCCCCTGCTGAGGACTGTGGTCCAAGGGATGGATTAAGATGATGCATCCCCCTAAGTCTTAGTCCCAAAGAAGTCTACGACTAAGAAGATCCCTTCCTTGAGTTACCCAGATAAAGGAGATGGTCTTAACAAGAGGAAGCGAGTTTTGTCTCCTTTACCTGATGCTAAGAGAAGGAAGAAGACAATGCTTCCTCCCTTTGATCAACCTTCCTCTATTCTTTTTCAGCTGGTCCTACTCCTTAGAAGGGAAAGCACATGCACAAGCATAATGGATGATGATCTTGTCAGTAGAATCTGAAAACGGTAAGGTGAGTCCCCTTTAACATAGAGAGATGGAGTCCCAGCTCCTAGGCCCTCGAATGGTCACTTCCTCTACCTCTTTCATTCTTGAGCCAATCCTTATGGATCCAACTAAAGTTGCTTAAGATGTGGCTCGAGGTGATAGAGCATGTTGAGGATCCAGGTATTCCACAAGAATGTTTTTCCTGTGCCTCCATAACCATAAACAAAGAAAAAACTTCCATTTGGGGAAGATAGTGAGGGCATAACACTATTGTATACACATTTTTGATCTTAGTCAAATAAACTAATTAGCCTTGCAGCTTCTAAATGCAAGCTATTTCAATCATAGTTCAATTCTTATAGAATGAGATAGTTGGTCGTATCAATTGCTCAAGCTCCTTGAGGCAATGGTAAAGAAGGATATTCTTGAAGACATTTCCTATTACTCTGTAGGAGTGAATTAATTTTACATGGTACAACTTGTTCCTTTTCAAAGATTGGCACATCAACTACTGTAAGTCAAAGACAATTTTAATGATTTGGTAAAATCATGCACAAGTCATGCTATTTGATAGTAATGTAAAAGATAATATTTTATTTACCTGATAAACTTAGATAATTTTTGGAGATACATAATAAATCTTTTGACAATACCTTGAAAGTGTTATTCCATACAAAGTTAGGATGACTCAAGGAAGAATAGAGTAGCATACTCGCAAACATTTTTCTCAACAATATTCCTGAAGCTCAAGTTGCAGCTTCATGTATTGCATTTATGTATTCTTTGTCATCATTTAATAACCCCATCATAAAGTAGGCATCTTTAAAAGTCTTACAGATTACTCCATCAACAGTTTTAATTGCACCGTATGAAGAAGGACCTATGACTTTTGTTAATAGAATTTTGAGGTAGTAAAGTTCTCCAGATGATGAGGTTGTATGAGTAATTCTACCAATAGCAAAACCTCGTTCCCTTTGTTTTCATGCTCATTTCTCTCGTTGATAAACATAATGATGAGAGAATTCAAAATATATGTCAATGTTTATGCAAGCTTCAGGCTTTTAGCGTAACACATAAGCTCAAACCTATTTAGCCAATATCTGATTCGATCTAACTTATTTTCACCCCTATTGCATATGCTCCCTTGTTTGCATCATATGCTTTATTTATTTATTTATTTTGTAAAAGTAAAATTATAAACTTCAATTTTTTTTCCAAATTGTCCTTTATAAAATTAGAGGTTTTTCCACAAATAGATTCAATTTCTTCACATCACATGCGAAAGATAGTTACACTGCTATTTTAGTCCTAATTTTTTAGCTTAAAATATAATTATTATGTTTAACTAACTTATTAATTAACATTTTCTTACATTTAAATATGAAAAAAATAGTAAGTTATTGTGAGTTGGCTTTCCTCCTCCTCATTTTCCACTTTCCACACTTTTCTCGCCTCTTTTATCTTTATATCTCTATTCCAACACTTAAGATTTACTATATTATAAAAATAATATTATAATATTAAATAATAAAGTAAATAAATAAATTCAACATATTACAATAAAAGGTTGCACATGCCCAGAGTATGCATAAGTAGGGCAAGGCCCTTGCCTGATGCCCGACTCCAAAGATCAACAAGTTGTTTTTAATTGTTGAATTTTTATAAATATTAACCTAAATATTAGAAAATATATTTATAAACCTAAGAATTTGATTGTCTTTTAATTTAAAAAATAATTTTTTGATGGATTAATTTTAAAAATAATTAATCGAGTAGTTGAGTTGAACAAAAGAGATTTAATTTTTTTAATTAATAAGGATGATCCAAATCTTATAAATAGAAAAATTTTAATAGTTATGCTTAGTCTAATATTTTTTTCGCCGACCATGTTTAGTCAAATTATAAACTTTATAATATTTGAATTTGAACAAATAATGGTACATCACACATCAAATCAAATCATTACATTAAAGAACAAATGATTAATGATTGGAGATTTGGAGGGACAAAGAGAAAAAAAACAAAAAAAACAAAAAATCCAAATACTATAACAAATATTTAAATATATTATTAATATTAATAATTCAGTCAATAAAATTATATCAATTCAATTTAAAATAATTTACATATCATTATTTTAAATGATTTTATTTTTATAATAAAATGTGTATTTAAATTTTTACCTTTTTTTAATTTATTATTATTAATAATGTTAAAATTAATTTATATTTAATGTTGTATTAAGGTTAAATTCGTTTATTTTCCTTTTTTCTTGGGATGCTCGAGCATTTTCAGGTCGGAAAGAATGAGAATCAAGTTACTCTGTCCATGTCCATGATGACTTGAAGAAAACCCTTGGATTCCAAAAAAATAAAAAAAGTTGTATATTCTTAATGAAAGCAGACAAAATTCATATAAACAAGTCAGAAGGAAAAAAAAAAAAGAAATACAAACATTATTTCTACAAGCTGTGAGCAAGTAACCCACAGTTCATCCATACCCCAACAGGTTGGAAGTGTTTTGTTAATGATAAAAAATATGGGCTAAATGTAAAGTCAGGTAAACAATTAGATTTAATGAGTTGCTCATTTAAACTTATTTTTATAAATTTTTAAACTTAAAAATATTGAGAATATTTTGTATAATTGAGTTTGTAAATTCAGTTTCATAAACCTGTGTAAAAATGAACTAGGACTCAAGTGGCTCATTTAGATTTATTTTTTGTTTTACATCTAGAAATAAAGTATTCTTAATTGTTAAATTGAACAACTATTAAAAAATATATGTTTATATTTTGAAATTATTTTTAAATATTATAATTTACATTTTTAAAAATAATATATAATATTATAACTATAAATATTATTTTTTAAAAAATTTTAAAATAAAAAATAAAATGGACTTTCGCGTCCGTTCCTTAATCTAATCAACAAAAGTCAAAGCTTGACAGAATGATGGATTTTATTGTAACGGGCTTTTGGGCTTGAAAACCAGAGACTTTCAAGTCGAAAGTGAAAAGCTTTGGCCTTTGGGCCTGCGGCCTCGCCTCATCTCCCTCCGTCCCTCGTCGGCTCTCCCTCTCCGTCCCCAAAGGCCAAAGCTGATCGTCGGCGGCGCCTTACCAGGTGCTCGCATTCTATTCTCTTCTTGCTCTGCCACTTCCTTTCCTTGCAATATGTTGAAACGACGTCGTTTAATTTGAATGAAGTGCCCTTAACTCTCGCAACGCGCGGCGAGTTCGAACTCCACGACTGGGCCTTCTTCACTTCTCCTTTGGCCTTTGCTTTACTCCGCTGCATCTCTTGGTTTTCCGAGCGGCGGCGGATGCTTTAAAGTGCAATCTCACTTCGGAATTCACTGATTACCCTTCGCTCTGCTTCACTAAAACTTCAATCGGAACTTATTCTCTTCGGATTATCCTTACCCTCCTTTACTTTTCGGTTTCTCCCCATTTTTCTTTACATCATTTGTTGTGTTACTCTAAAATTACTCATGTGGTGTTGACTTTATGAGAAGGTGTTGTCTTGGGAATATTCTGGGTATTAGCCATTTTGAAACTTTTTCTGATTTTGAACATGCTCTCAGGGCTGATGCAAAGTGTTCAATTAGTGGACTTGATTTGTTGGCTATCATTCTTACTGCCAGAATTTGTCGGCAACCAAGCGGCATTTTTGTAATGATATTTTGACCCATTTATAAACTAAAACTAAGAGTTGAATAACGTGCATGATCATGATTATCAGCAAGTTCAAATTTATGCTAAGTCAACATCGGTATTGAAAAAATTCCTGAAGTACTATAATTGCTTTTTGGTGGTCTTGCTTAACTTTGTCTGCCTGTAACGTTATTTCCCCTTATCTTTGTTTATTCAGAGATTTATGAAACAATAACAATAAAATGGTGCTTTCTCCCTTGGAATGGCAAGTATTTATAATTTTTACTTTTCCTTTGCTCAAATCACAGTTAGCACCGGCATACGTTATTTTTAAAGACTTAGGAATTAACGTTTCCTGGTTGTTTAATGTTGTGTCAAGTTGTCGTGCTCCAGTATGGAGTGGATTATCCAGCTTTGCCTTTTTGGTAAAAGCGTTTTGGGGAACTTGTATTTTTTGTTTCGTTTTAGTGCATGCTCAATAATCACGGTTATTAAAGAAACAGAGGATGAGTTATTTGTTTCACAATAAAATAGCATTCACAATTTCTTGCAATATGCAAAAAAGAATGCATTATATCAAGTTGAATATTATGTTAATACTATTCTACCTTTGCTTAGTTTTGGTGGAGCGCTTTGCATACTCATTGCTTTGCTTGATTGACTTCAGATCATTGTTTGAGACATTCTGGTAATTCTGCCATTAGCAAAGAGTAGGTGACATCCACTTGTTGTCTTCATGTTAGATCTTCAGTTCTTTGGCCTTTTACTTGTTTATTTTCCTTCCTTTTTGTTCATTTACTTGCTTCATTAAACTCAATGCTGTGTTTTCATTTTAATCTTATTTTCTCTGTAATCTTTCATGATTTCAAATGTCAGGCTTGGGTAAGAAAACTATGCAAGCAGGCAAGGGAAGGGAAGATTGCTATGGCCATGCCTATTCTGGTTTGTGAGTAGTCTTATATATTTTTCTTGTTGAACATGTCATCTATGTAGTTTAGGGAATCCGTCATGAGTAATTTCTATTAGTAACATGTGTATGTGTGCTTGCAGCTAAAGAACCTGAACTATTTTGTCAAGATCCATGTGATAGTATCAGAATGTTTACTCTCATTGAAATTCCTCTACTTCACTTCAGCGACACTTTCATTTTCACTTTCTGATCAGAAGCGTCCAAGGGATTTGTTAGTTTTGATTCATTCTGTATTTTTCTGGTAGCTGCATGTCTTTATTCAAGACAATAACTATCTGTGAAATGAATAGTGTTGCTCAAAATTAAGTTCTTCATTTAGTTCCGGCCAAAAAAATAAAGTTCTCTCAGTTTTGGTATTTGGGAATTTCTGTTAAGTATGATGTTTCTGAAGACCTTCTCTAGGGTTTTGAAGAACAAGAGCTTGCTGCTCCCTTCAAACTTCGCCTTCATATCCAACCATGAAAGTACTCAGAGGATTTTTCAAACCCATATCAGTTCAGGTTCTAAATATCTTCAACAAGCTACGGAACTGCATTGTTTGCGCTCATTCATCAACCCCCATGTCACTCACCTTGTTCTCTCAAACACTTGCCTTCAACCTCAATCACGCTTAGCCTTTTTCAACTTCTTCAAAGCAAAATACTCCGTTGGTGCCTGTAAGCCTGACATTCAGGACTATGCATGCCTCATTTCTAGTCTCTACCATGCTCAGAAGTTCGCAGAAATGAAGAATATTTTGAATTGTATTGTGACTGATGAGGAGCTTTGTCAGCCTGTTTTTGATATCATTGCTTTCTTTGATAAAAGAGATCCCCATTTTTTCGCAAAGCTGTGTGATATGTTGTTCAGGGTGTATGCAGATAATAGAATGTTTGAAGAGGCTTTTGAAATCTATGATTACTTGAAAGAAAATGGGTTGGTGATAGAGGAGAGGTCTTGCTTTGTGCTTTTACTTGCTTTGAAAAGGTTTGGTGAGGTAGACCTATTGGTGAGGTTCTTTAGGAAGATGGTTGAGTCAGGTAGGGTTGAAATCAAAGTTCAATCTTTGACACTTGTAATAAATGTCTTATGTCATACAAGGGAAGTTGAAAGAGCCAAGGCTTTGATGGATGAGATGGCAGGTAAAGGCATTGTTGAACCAAATGTTGTCACTTACAATACATTGTTGAAAGCATACATTGCAAGAAAAGATCAAGAGGGTATTAATGCGATATTGAACTTGATGGAGAAGAGGCAAGTTGTCCATAATTTAATCACCTGTGATCTTTTGATACAGTGGTATGCTAGTTCTGGCAGCATTGAAGAAGCTGAAAAGCTGTTCAACAACATGCGCGGAAGAGGGTTAGAACCAGATGTTTATGTGTACACTTCATTGATAAATTGGAATTGTAGAAAAGGGAATCTTGAAAGAGCATTTGCTTTGTTTGATGAATTGGCTGAGAAAGGCATTGTTCCTAGTGCTCACACTTATGGGGCCATAATTAGTGGTGTATGCAAAGCAGGCCAAATGGATGCAGCAGAAATCTTGGTGAAAGAAATGCAAAACAAGGGGATTGATGTAAATATAGTAATATTTAATACAATAATAGATGGTTATTGTAAAAGAGGAATGATAGACGAGGCTTTCAGGCTCAAAGTTGTCATGGAAAGCAAAGGATTTGAAGCAGATGCTTTCACTTACACCAGCATTGCTAGTGGGCTGTGTAAATTGAATAGGCATGAGGAAGCTAAGAAGTTTCTGATTGAAATGGTTGAAAAAGGAGTGACCCCTAATGTGGTGAGTTTCAATATATTGATTGACATATATTGTAAGGAGGGGAATATTGAAGAAGCTGTGAGGTTGTTTAGGGATTTGGATAAGAAGGGAGTGGTACCTAATAATTTTTCATATAATACCATTATAGATGGTTATAGCAAGAAAGGGAAGGTGGAGCAAGCTCATAAGCTAAGATTTGAAATGACCCAAATGGGGTTACTGCCAGATGTCTATACATATACATCACTTATACATGGGGAATGTGTTGCTGGCAGGGTAGATGAGGCACTGAAACTTTTCAAGGAAATGTCTTTGGTGGGTATAAAAGGAAATGTTGTGACCTACACAGCAATTATTTCTGGTTTGTCCAAGGAGGGGAGAGAGGAAGAATCCTTTAAATTATATGATGAGATGATTAAGATGGGCCTCACACCTGATGATAGAGTTTACACTTCACTCGTCGGCAGCCTTCATAAGTCCGGATCTGACGATTCTATGCAACAAAAGTAGATTGGTGGGATGCATTTTCGGCTGGTCATATTTGTTGGGCCTTCCCACAGTGATAGAGCCATCAATAAGGGCTGCATTTGACAAAAAAAAAAAGGATTTTAGTATAAAAAGTCTTTTAATTGTTACTTTTATAAGCCTTACAAAAAAAAAAAAAAAGCTCACGCCAACTCTCAAGCCTTTATAATTCTTTTAACTTTATTTACATAATTTACCTAAAGTTTTGAATTATTATATGATAATAATAATTTGTTAAATGTTTATATTAGGTGAAGATGTTGGAGAGGTTGCTGAAATAGCACCATCTCCTCCTAGAAGAACTTCAAACATTCTCATGTTTTATTTTTGAATGAAGATTGATATAATAATGACTAGAGAATATTTACATTTTGGATTATAGATAATTTGAACTTGTATAGTTTATATTATTTTAATTATACTTTTGAGCTTATTATTATATTTTAAATATTTAATTAAAGTACTCTGTAATTTATATATGTAATAGTATGATTAGAAATTTTAATTCTAATTAAAAAAATACACAAAAGTTATGTGGGCTTTGGGACCATTCAATAAGGGATGGGTTTGAGAAACTAATTATAAGATGAGAAAGTATTCATGGGTTTGAGTCTCGGGCCTAAAAGGGTGTGGTTAGATTTTATTAACAACTTGTGCAATTTTTTGGGCCAGAGAAAGCGTAGGCATGCTCTTTTGAAGCCCAACTGAGAATAACTGAAAAAAAAAGAACATCTAGTTCCAATGCAATCTAAACTAGAGGTTGAATTCTCAGAATACAGCATTCTCTATTATCTACTGCATCAGCTTTTATTTAGAAACTATTTAAAATAGCTTATCGAAATAATCAGAAATTTATTTTTTATATATTCTAATTATTTTTAAAAATTTAAACAAAAATAATAAAGTAAATATATATATTTTAACTATATCTCTATTTCATTAACTTTTTTTTACAGACATATTTGAAATATTATTATTTTAACAAATTTATTTATTCAAATTAAATAAAGGGAGAAAAAGGGGTCGAGAAGTGGCTCCTCCAGTAGCAGTTATTAAAGGATTGGACAGCTTGAACAATGCCTGCGAGATCCCAATGCCGATTGATGTATGTCTGAAACTTAAACTTTAGAATATTACTTAATATCCAAAAAGTTTCATTTGGAGGCTCCATCGCAGAAGAAATGAAAGAGAACAACATAAAACCTTTAGCGAAGAAACCTCACTACAAACAAGAAAGAACCATAACAAGAGATGATACGGAAAACGATTCCCCTCCACTCATTTTCTCGCATAATTAATAATTTTAAATAGAAGTAATATTAAAAAAACTTAATTAATTGACTAAAATATAGTGATCTCATTCTCGCTTTGCTAAAATTACAGATACTTTCTCTTTATTTTCAAAAACTATACTTTAATCAAATCTTCTAACAATATTAAAAATATTATATTAAATATTTTAAAATACTTACTTTTTTATTTGTAATTATGTTAACAAATTTAAAAGTATTAATTTTTTTCTTATGATCTAATTGTCTATTCTCTCTGCCAATTTTTTTAAAATAAATAAATAAATAAATATTTCAATATTTAAATAAATAATTTACACTTTTGTGTTAAAATAAATGAAATTTAAAGAAAAATAAATATAAATTATATTGAGTAATTTATTATATTAAATTCTTATGTCATAATTTTTTGCTATCTGTTTGTATATTATTTTAGCCTCTTTATGTATTTAATTTTTTTAAAATATTACTAAATAAATACATTTACATAATTAAAAAATTTAAAATATAAATAAAAAAGTAAAAATAAATGCATTATTTTTTTGGTTATTTGAATAATTTTTAAACAATATTTATATTTACATAGGGGTATTAATGGGACTTAATGATCAACTATTGGCAGGGTGGGCAAAAATAAAATCTTAAAAATAGAGTGGATATTTGTGTTTTGTAACTGTTCATACTATGGGAGATTGATTTGCATAAGCTTCAAAAATAGAAGAAATGTATCTGTAATTAAAGTAAAACAGATGGAAGGTTTGAGTATTTTACTCTAATTAATAACTCTTCAAGTAATTTATAACAAGGACTACACATCTCTTTTAAAATATGGCTTTTCGAGTTTTCCAAAAACCTAATAATCTAATCCAACCTGACAAAACTTGGTCTTGTTCGGTTTAGGAAAAAACTAATCACGTGCCAGAAAAAGACCAAACTAGACAAGATCTATTCAAGTTGGGCTGAATATGGGACTAAGCTATCAAACCACTTGGTCTAGTCTTATCCTATAAAATTTTTTCAATGCAATTGAAATTCACCCATCCATCTTATCAAAATGGTATCACATATTAGTGCTTAGTTTTGTATGTTTTATCGGTCTCTATATTTGAAAATGGTGAGTTCTTACTCAATCTTAAGAAAGTAAGGGTGAAGTCTCATATTGCTTTTGGCTTTTCTTTTTGTTATTTCCTTAATAAAGTATATAGCATTATGAAGTGAATAATAATGGAAACAGAATAATTCAACATTATAAAAAAAAATTCTTTCTAAACCCCTTTTCTAAACTGACTCACGTGCATATGGTGTAGAAATAGGAGGCAATAACATTGTCATAAATAAATGGAAGGCTGAGATGCTATCTGAACTGGTTCCTTGAGTAACCTGTTTAGAAATTAATACCTAAACCGATATAGATTAGAACTTGTTTAGATGTGTTTCAATTTTTTAAAAAATTCTTTTTTTAGTATATTTAAATTGATTTAGCTATACCTATTAAATTTTTGAAAAGTCTCTATGTATCAGTTCATTGTCACCATCTCCTTCACACGTGCACTTGAAAGTGTTCCAAATAGCTACCTTAAACCCAGAATCAGTTCATCTCACTTGAAAGCTTGAAATCTAGAATCTTGTGCTCTTGCCCTAAAACCATCGTTCTCATATGGTTCATGCTTCATCGCATTTGTGTACTTGAATCTTTTGTGTTCACTAAGCTTTGTCACATTCACAAAGCTTCATGCTTTACTTCTCTAGATTCAATCTTTTGTGTTCGATCGTGCTTCGATCTTCGAGCTTCAACCTAGGTGTGTTGTTTGATTTTATAGAAGCACTGGAAATTTCCAATCTATGAGCTTCATTATCTAGCTTCAAGCTTCAATTCTTTGAGTAAACACTAAAATTTGTTAATTAATTTTGTGAGCTTTTGTGCTTAAATATGCTTATATGACTGCGAGCTTGATATTGGTATTAAATTAAAAAAATAGAGCTTGTAAATCTACTTGTCTCCCATAGTTTAGCATATCTTGTGTTTAAGTTGTGCATGTGAGCTATTTGTTAACATACCTCTTAGAATTATTCTACATGATATCCCTGTTGCCAAGTTGAACTTGTGGTGTTTTTGAATTGTTAAGAATGCCTCTTAGAATTGTTCTGTGCCAAGTCTCTTAGAATTTTTGAATTGTTATATTTGTGTATGAATTGTTAAATTTGTTAGCCTAGGTTAGTTAAATTTGGTTAGCTTGATTGTTAAATTTGTTAGCTTAGGTCAATTGAATTTAGTTAGATAATAAAGTTTGTATTTGGATTGTTAGCTTAGGTTTGTTGTTGGCTAGAATGTGATTCATTATACTATGTTGTTATACTTTTAATTGTAAAATTACTATAAAATCTAACTTTTAAGGAAAATGCTACTAAATTTTTTTTTAAAACTTATTTTTCGGCCATTTTCTCTATATAGAAAGGGCCAAATCATATAGAATTGACTTCTCCTATTTATTAGATAGAAGGGATGTCAACTTTAAAGAATTTTATTGTTTAAAGAATTGACAATTATCAACTGAAATTGAAAATTATTGTGAATGCATAATGTACTTTTTTCCAAGTAAAAATGTCTAATATTTCCCTCGTACTTATTTGTTCATGGCGTTAGCATACTTGCTTCCTATTTTTAATATTGAATTATAGTGAATTAAATTATAGTGATTGCATGACTAGTTTATTTTCTGTACGTTAGTGGAGTGCTAGTAAAGGAGGCCTAAAGCCATTTATTATTGCATGCAACTTTGTTTTGTTTAAATAGTATTATTTTCTTCTTGTATTATTATTGGGAGTCTAACTTTTAGAGAAGACTCTATCAAAAAAATTTTAGAACTTATTGTTTAACCTTATCCTAATAGATTTAGTGATAATCTATAAGCTTTGTTGTGTTTTAGGGAGTCAAATTAGGCATGGTTTGTAATTGAATAATTGCCAAACGAACGAGTGCAAAGTATGCTAATGAAGTTAAGAGGTTTCTAGATTTGCTCAAAGCAATATTGAAGATGATAGTAGAAGGTTTTATTGTCCTTGTAGGAACTATTTAAATGAGAGACGGCTAAGTATAAATGAGATATATGAACACTTAATTTATGAGGGATTTTTTAAAAGCTATAGAGTATAGATATGACATGGTGAAAGACTAAATATGCTGATTCCTTGTACATCTCAAGTCCAAGATGTTAATGATGATGATTGTTGCTCACCGCAAGTGTACGAGTCATAGCAAGTAATATAAAATAAGTAAAGTATCATTCTCTTGAGAATTTGTTTAAAAACAATGTTTAAGCAAAAGACTAAGTAAATTCAATTAAGCTAAGCCACATTTGGTTGGGTGAAAATGATTTTGCAAATAAAACTAATATTAGAAAATAAAGAAAAGTAATTGATTCACAAACGTCAAACACAAATTGGGACCTAGCATTATTTTATAATTGGCTTAAACTTGCACAATACAACATTTCAGATAAATTTTTACCTCCCACATGCCATTAGGCTAAATCACATTTGTCCATCCTTATACTCCCAACAAGTAAAATAAATAATTTAGTTAATTTTCAAAACAAGCCAGTTATTTGGCCTCACAGTTAGTTGGCCTCATAATCATGCCATTTTAACAAATTCAAAGCAAACCAAATATTAAAATTACAGTCATCCAAAGTGTACCAAAAATATAAATAGTTTGAAAGACATAATTACATTTATATATTCATATAATTGTCAATAAACAAAAAGCCCTAATATTGGCAATATAACACATTATAAATCATAAATCAAATACCCAAAAGAGACAGTGGATCTATACCACTAAGCCTTTGG